TTATAATAATATTTATTTATTATTATTATTGTTATTATAAAATAAGGGCTGTCAATTAATCAGGTTGATTAATCAGTACACATTTTAAATTGTCAATGCTGGATAGATACACATGAGCTGTTATCAAATTCAGTTTGAGGATTTTTTCCCCCAGCAAACTCTCCCTTCACAACACTGAACCTGATCTAAAATCACCACCTGGCTGCTCCAGCATTCTGCCTCCATACTGGACTGCTGTAACCTTCACTTGTTGAAGCACAGGAAGCTCAGGCTAGAGATTAAAAACAAACAAAAAAATGTTTATTTTTTCACACTTTAAGCAATGTGAATCTGCTCAGGCTGCCTGTACTGTGACAAGGGCTTTATGTCCGAGTTGTCTGGGTGTGATATTCTCTTGCATTAATAATGTGAACCTCTGCTTGTCCCAGCAAGGCAGGCGCTTGGCTTTCCATTTGTTTTCTCCCACACAAGAAGTCAGTGCTGTGCAACTGCATATTAAGGAGATCAATTGAGGACTGTGCATACACTCTCAGCCTGACTGTCACCAGGACTAATGCTGGCTCAGGGTTCAGTGAGTATTATATGTCACAGCACTGTTCCACTTTAATAAGAAAAATGAAGGAGGTCAGTGAAAGGTGACTGCAGTCATCCGAGGTATATGGCGTATATATCGATTAGCTTCTTTTTCAATTAGGACACAGTCTCATTAATAAAGACAGGATTAACTCGACGCCTTGTTTTGGGGACATTGGTCAGTCTTTTACTTGGAAATTATAACTCAAATAATCCATTTCTATTTAAAATCAGGCACAAGGTCAGTCAAGGATCTAAATAATTCACTCTTAGTCTAAGCCGACGAAGCACTCATATCTGAACCACTTTAAAAGTCAAAGTAAACATTTACTGGCTGCAACCCTTCTGTTTAGACCATTTTGGTAATGCTGTAGCAATTTAGGATGGCTGATATATCCTTCATAAGAACATTTTAGCATACATTTCTAAACTTTTTTGTTCTGTGACCTTGTTTCACTCCTTTATTTGTGAGTTTTATTTTCAAATATCCTGTTGACTTACTATAATCCAAACAGATAAATTCTAAATAACTTGACAAATTTACCCGCTGTTCGTGGAGACTCACTTATTCATGCACATCATAATCAAACTATTCTGGGGAGAATTTCAGTAAAATGCAATTAATGAGTTGGTATTTTTAACAAATCACCTAGAAATAAATAGGTCTGTTGAATATCTTTATTAACTCGTATGTGTTTTGACATAAAATTTCACAGCGATTGACAGAAATAATAATAAAAAAACTTATAACCAATAACTTTGGTAAAACAAATTGGCAAATTCACAAATAGATTAAAATGTGTTCTCTGGCTCTCATCCTCACAGGAACCTTGTGTGTGTTCATACATTATGCTTATTATCAGTGTAACTCTTTGAAGCCGCGATGACTTGCTAAATTATAATCATTTTCTTTTTTAAAATGTGTCAAATAAAATCCTTGATTGTACAGTAATTAGTATGTTGAAGAATTGTGAACAGCACAGCCTTCCACTCATTATCTATGCCACTCACCCCTGGAGGATTGCAGGCGAGCTGGAGCCAGGCCCAGCCGACATTGTGTGAGAGGCAGGGCACACGAGCTGCCAAGGTACTGTACAAAGGCAGTGATTCACACTCACATGTACACCTACAGGCAGCCAACTATAATGTCAAGGCTGTTTTGGCAGAAACTCCCTCTAAATGTTTATGTAAAGAAGTTACACGTTACGCAACCGCAGACTTTAATATTCATACAACGGCCTGTTTGATGTTTTTAAAAGGGATCAATGTCAGATAAGTAGTTCAGGACAATCCAAGAATTGATCACTCAGATTGATTTTCTCAGGTCTGTAATGCACAATAACCACTAACAGCCATTATTGGCAGAACTTAATGATATTTTTGCAAAATGCATTAATGTGAAATTGAGTTCATGTTGTGCACTACAGTCACATGTGTCTGCCTTACTGTTTCAATGTTGTTTCTAAGTGGTTCTCAGTGCCTCAGGCCTTGAACTAAGCTAAAGAAAACAAATGGACTAGTTGTCTATAAACCATACACTTTACATAGACTATATACTGTATGTATAGACTACTTAAATACAAGTCACTGATAGGTTTACCTATTCAGAACAAAATATCCTTCATCCATCATCTGCTACTTAGGGGAGATGCAGAACAACTGTAGCCAATCACAGCAGTCCTTGAGGTGTTGTGGACCATGGACAGTTCTACAGTCTAACACAGAGCCACATAATGGGACAGACAACCATTCACACCCTCACTAATATGAGTGGAGATCAAAATTGATAAACAAATGAAATGATACATGAAATATATCTTTACATTGTTTAGATCAAATACCCACACACAAACACTCATTCTTGGTTTAACCTATATTTGCGGTCATTATTGGGATTTAAAAAAAACCCTGACTATTTAAATAAAAAATACAATCTATAAACATAAATTCCGACAGTTTTTCCTTCTGTTTTCTATTTTATACCTTTTTATCGCAGACTCCTAGTTTAAAACTGACCTGAAGAAAGAAAACGCTCAAAAGCCAAAAGCATTTCCTGCACCATAAAGCAGCCATTAGATATATGTGATATCCACATAAAACAAAAAGGAGAAAAGCACAATGTGATGTTGTAAAGGTGAGTATTTTGAACTGCTCTTCAAGTTTAACGTTCAGCACTTGTCGTCCTAAAGTTAGCATCTCCCCTCCCGACAGTCCAAACGTCCTCCTGGGACATCATAAACACAGCTAAGTCAAAGCCAGGTATTAAACACACTCTTTGTTATGATATGAAGGTGTGACCTCAGTGTTTAAGTGCCCTAAACTGACTGTGGGCGTCAGCGGTTTTCCAAGTCTTCCCCGTACCGTCACGACAGCTGTCTGATGTGTGAGACCGCACCGTTTTTTTTATCCACCGCTCCACGTCAACAGCAGCGCTCAATATCTCACCACAAAGGACATATAGATTAGCTTTTGATGGGACCGTCCCTCTGAGGTGTCGGTGGTAATGCCTTATGCAGACCTCGAAAGCACCATCAATTATCCCAGGGCCCAGGAGGGAGCAGTGTCTGTAATATTTATAGAATACCTCCATTATTCCGGAAAAAAGAAAATCAGGTTTTACACTTAGGAAAATAAGTGTCACCTTATGTCAGCTAAGTGGAGACTACAGTAGAACGAATGATTTGACATGGAAATATAAAACTTTTAAAATGGCAAAGTGACTGTTGAGCAAAAAGGGAAGAAAAAGATGAAGAATGACCTTCCATTCATCCTGACCATAATTCCTGCAGCCGAGTCTGGAGTGTTTTATCAAATAAATGCCTTCCTTTTCATCTACACATAAAGTTTTAGGTTAGACGGTGGGAGAAAAGAAGGTCGGATACAGCTTTTAACATTGTGACAGTTTGATTCTCGGTCTCATCTATGGAGTTTTTTTATTTTTACCCAAAAACTTTTAGACTTGAAGTCACATCCTATTCATATGCACAAGGGAAACACTGACAGTCGCTTCAATAGCATTTTTCTTCTTAAACTACTGCCCCGTAGATTCATCTTTTCCTCTGCTTATTATGTTACAGGAGTTTTTTTTTTTTTTTGACAGACCAAAAGTGGAAAAACACAGCTTTTATGACCAAAAGTGTGACAGCTGAATGCCATTTAACTTTCTCTGTCCACTGCACAGAGTCATTGTTTACTTTGCCTGTTTCCAATAACGGCGTCCATAAATATCCCTCTGGGGTCCAAAAAATACATTTATAACCCAGAAACATTTCACACCATAGAAAATGTGAATGGCTTGACACTTTTGAAGATTTAGCAGGATTCTAAAGAGCTGAAGGCGGAAAAAGTTCTGTTTGATGGGGCTTAGAAAAAAAAGGTCTCCAGGGTCTTCAGCAGCTGCTTCGCTGAAGCCTTGACTTCACAAGGTTCAACCTTCAGTCCACAGACGGTGGGTCAGCAGACCCACGGGTCTGTAGACGACAGACTGAAAAGTACCTGCGGTCGTGAAGATGTGTCTTTTTTCCTCTGTCACAGTGTTGGCGCTTCACATATACTGCATGGAGACTTTTCTATTGACTATATGCAGATTCATACTGTCTGATATACACACACCTGTTCTCTGCAACAGTCAGAATAAAGGCTGCCTTCTGGTATTTTCACACCAGTAAATTTAAATATATAAGAAGCAGCTACAAATAATTACTGGCAGAAGTGTTGAATGGTGGATTTGTAGAACAACAGCGTTGTTATTGCTACTAATAAAGATTCATTTTTTAATTAATCTTCAAACTTCATCCTCTTATATCCAGTATGTAGCCACTCAGTGTTCAGTCTACAGAGCTGTTTGTCAACGTAAATGCAACATCAGCTTCCTTCATTTATTTGAAACGACAGAATGCTGATGTCATCGTCCTTCATTGTCAGTGCTTAACAGATTTCTTTCCTCTCTGCTTTTATTAAAAAAAAAAGAAAAAAAGAAAAATTAATTGAGTCCCTTATTCATCCCACAATGGAGAAATTCACAGTGTGAGTCTCTGCAACCCAGACAGGCTGCCACAGGTGGCGCCATCAGGTATATGTAAATCCTTTGGGGATCGAACCCTGAAACCTTAACCACAGCCTATAGACATTGTTTCCCGTCGTTGACACACAGTCAGTTAAGTTCAGATTAAGACATAGATGTATAAAGATAGACATGATCCATCTGATCGACTTGGTGGTCCAGCAGGTGAAGGCGTCTGTGTCCTGTCTGTGTGCTGTGCATCTGTCACCTACACATGTCCACCAAAGACACCATCTTTGGACCTTCCTTTAACCAGAATCAAAATAACTAATAATAAAAGAACTGAAACCACAGAAGAAGAAACTATTTGTATTTTCTTCAGGTTCTGCTGTGGATTGTTAGGAGGTAACCTCAGTGGGAACGCTTGTATCCACCAGTGTGGATCGGCTCGGTTGTGGTTTTCACTGTTGCTAAGCACACAGCGCTCACTCTGCAGGAACCTCGCCAACATCTACATGTGCATGTCTGTGGTGAGCCCATGTTTGGATTATCACAGTGTGGTTTTTGGCTAAGAAAAAGTAGGAGCCAGGCTCCGTGGTGCAGGAGAGAAGACATCCATTCTGCTCTTGGAGAAGATCTCCCGCAGGCACTACATCCACTCCAAACCCTCTCCCCATGGTGACAGTGAAGAGAGGCATCATTTTCACACACATATAGTGCAGAACTAACAGACTTAAAGCAGCAAGACTGTCTGCAGCCGTCAGACCTTACTGTTCTGAGACATTAGTTTGTTTGGAGGTTTTTTTAAATTAACAAATTATATGGATGCATTCAAAACCATAAAAACAAACATTTATGCTTTGAAACAACAATACAAATTTTAAATCTGATTAATCACAGGTTAGCTCTAGATTACTTACAATTAATCAAACCTAATCCACTTTCCCAAAGTATTTTCTGTGTATTGCTTAAATAGAAAGACCGATAACAGCAAGTGGTTGTAGGTAATGTTTTTTCATCCAACTCATGGAATTATTAGTATGGAATAATGTCAACTAAATTATGAGTCGGCATTGGTTGGTTTCACCAGTTATGGTTTTTTGGAACAAGGAAGCAGGAATTCACCATCAAGGATCAACAATCCGGAGAAGGTTTTCTCACATTGCAGCAATGCAGAAATGGCAGCAACCTGTCAAAATGTTGGCTGTGGCCTCAGGTAGGACTTCTGTTCTCTGCAGGACGTCCTGCACCAGCAGGGTTTTACGCTGCTGTCAAAGCGTGTCATCCTGATGCCTCTCCTGCCCCAGGGCTCTGCCAAGAAACGCCGGTGTTTGCTTTTAGCTCTTCAAAGTCCTAAGGATCTCACCTTAAGGTAAAGAGCTGAGAGTTTAAATCATTGACCCGAGCTGATCCCCGGGTGTGCATTCGGGAACACCTCATGTCCATCCGGTCTAATCCTGTGACAGGTTCACAGGCTCACAGAGAGGGAAGAGATTGATCAGCCATTAGATGGAGTTTTCTCTTCAGCTCAGCTTCTCTTCATCCCATAAGGACGCCCAACTTAACTTTCCACATTACTAATTTAACAATGACACGAGTCACGTTCACCGCTGTCATCGCTGACCTTTTCCTTCTCCGTGCTGAAACAAAAGAGATGATGAGCACTGCGCTCTGACTCACACATAATCAGGAAACTCATATCTGCTGTAAGATAGCAGTTAATCCTCATGCATTTTTGAATTTTTAAAATAGGCTTTATATATTTTGACAGAGAGAATATTACAGTAAAATATTAGAATTTAAATTTAAATATGAACAAATGTACTCTAAAACAAGGACACAAACCATTTGCTTTGATCCCTTCTAGATTTTCTTTTTTTAATTTTACAATTTCAAGATACTTTAGCCTTAATTTCTTTTTTTATATTTTCAGTTGTTAAGTTCCATTTCATTTCGTTTCATCAACTCATTCAGGAGAGAAGAGAACTCTCTTTTAGACGACATGGGATTCAATCCTTCCACTGGGATATTTGTTTATGATCCAAACACAGCAGCACATTTGGACCAGTAACTTATGGACCTTACGTATAGTTAATGTCACATATCATTCAGGTCAATTTACCTTTCAAGCACTTGCAGCCATAGAAATGTCTTTGTTTATTTTATTCACAGAGGTCCATTGATTCAAAGAACCAGGAAGTTGTTCAGAGCATGATGAACAGAAGGCATCAAAGGCAGGACGGAGCTGAAGAAAAGTGAAGAAAAAGGCTGAAAATGTTGGCAGCTAAACCTCCACAGACTTTGTGACTTGCAGCTGAATGGAGTTGTTTTTTTCCTTTAGAAATCTGCAACCTTTATAGTCTTTTTTTTTATATTTCTTTTTTTTATTTAAGTCTATGACCTTTTAAAAATATGGTCACTAATAATTCACCACTAAAACACCAACAATTTCCAACATTGATAAGATTTCATATAGTGAGGTAAACATGACTGTGACCAGTTTTGAATCTAAAATGTTGCCCGCCTCTATATTTAACCAGACTGGTCTATGTCTAGTGGCGTGCAGCATCTGTTTAGAAATGATTTTTAAACATGAAGACCACACCCCTAAATGACTTCTGATGTTACAATGAAAACACCCAGATCAATAAAGCAACATCTCTTGGAGGAAATCCAGCAGTGCATCACTTGGCCCAAGTCTCTGTGACACATTTAATTATGAGCAGACTGCAGTCTGAACAGGAAGCTGAGGTCGTGTCCTATAAAAAGTGGTTCAAAACCTAAATATATGCAGTTGGACAGAAAACATCAAAGCTGGACGGGCGGTTTAAAAATGTAAATATACACAAGGGTTTATGGTTATGACACAAAACCTGAATATTTATTCCTAGACTCTAAACCATTAGGTTTAATTCTGGCACGTGGTTGCACCGTCATTAAATAGGAGTAAAGAAAAATAACAATAATAATTAAAAAAAAAACTCAATTCAAGCACCTGGCATGAATATGAGTATATTCTGATGACTTGTGTCAAGACTTCTTGAATGTGGGTTTAATTTGGTCATTTTACAGGATGTTTTTTTGAGTTGTTGTTCATTTATTTTAATCCATATTTTTCAATTTAACTTTTTTAAATTTTGTGCAACCCTCTTATATGTTCAAATCCTGTAACTCCTGACTCTTTTGAAAAGAATTTCGCACCAGTATGAAGAGGATTGTTAAATTGTTAAAATCCAAAATGCACACGGTGACCATCATAACGTAACAGACACACGGTTCCTCACCGTCAAACAGTGAAAACAGATGTAAATCTCTGCATGTTAATGTAAGCACAGCTGTGGATAAATAATTGAAGACAACATTCCATAATAAATGAACTTCCTTCAAATGAACATTGTTGAGCAGCTGAGGAACGAAGGAGTTTGACAGTATACACCCCACCCCCCCCCCCCCCGACGCCCCGCCGTCCTCCCCTCATCCCCCCATGGTTAACTGTGCCCAGGGCCGTTTTTGAGAGGCAGAAGATCAAATGAACAAGACTCTCACAGGAAGTTGGACTGGTGTGCTGATAGGAGGTGAGGAGGAGGAATTATGTCTTATAGGAAGGAGGAAAGGAACGGGAATGTTGGTCTGGGATTATTATTATTTTTTTACCAAGTGACGGATTATTATGACAGTTAGATATTGATTTATAAAAGTTGTCAGATTCCATCACTACACCTGACACTTCAGGTAAGAATCCGGAAGATTCCCTCAACACACCAGTCTGCATGAAATTCAAACAGTAAATGACTGAAAAAAACAAAACACCTTTAAGAGACTGACCATTAAAGCTTTACCATAGCAACTGCACAGCCTGAGAAGATAATGAGAGTTTTCTACAGTTAATCTGCAGTATTTGAAGTCTGTGCATCGCCTCATTATTCTACTTAACCAAAGTGGAATGGAAAATATGAAGGTGAAAAACACCACTGTATGTTGCACATACATTTTCACAGCCATTCAAAGCTTTATTTACATTACTATACATTAGAATTTAGTGAATAATGAAGCAAATGGCACGAGAAGTATATATAGTAGAGGGTTAATCAAAACTTCTAAAACAAATATAACACAAGATTACAAATGTCTAAGCACTTCTGTAAACAGTGTTTACATCTGAGGATGTTTTTTTTTTTCAAGAAATCAAGGGATTCAATTAAAGATTAATAATAACAGATGTTTGTGTTTCACACCTGATTCATGTGTGACTATCGATTGAATCATTAGAAAATAAATAACTCCATGTATCAAAATTATTATTCAAACTATACAAGGTACATTTAAAGTAGGATTCTCAGAGGCATGTATCATCATCAGCTTGTAAACAGATGAAGAAAAGAAGGCTTAAATAATTGAAAGTGATGCATGTTTCAACACCAACCAGAGATCATGCATAAATCAATGGGGACAAGCACTTGATATTTGTATAACATTCAGTAAGAAGTCACATTCTAATGCTGACAGGACCTAAATGTCATCCATTCATTCATTTTCGTAGGCCTTTTCTTTTTCAGGGTGGTTAGTGGATTGGGTTAGACCCTGGACAGTTCCTGGTCTAGGACTGGGTCTCAAGATGGAGACAAACAACCATACACACTCACACACACACTCATATCTACTGTCAATTTAGATCCTGCAGGCCCTTCCACTCCCCCCTCCACACACATGATCAGCAAATGTGAACGATTGAAAAATCATCAGTTACCACCAGGAACTGAACAGTTGATTTCCTTGAAGTAAACCCTCTTTCCACTTTGTGACCCAGCCCATTTTTAATCAACCATTACTCTTAATAAAGATGTTTTTTTAAACACAACATCATAGGAAAAAAATGTTGCAGTGATGAACTTTTCAACCTAAAAATTAATACAACAAATGCTGTTGTACGATTTGTATCATTTGTAATTGAATATTGCCCCTGGTTCACTGAGGAAATAAAAACAAACTCTGACACCAGATTTGCCTTTTTAAGAACAAAATTGTTTGTTTGCCTCTGCATCACCTCTCTAATGGCAACCACTGTGTAATTCCCCCATTGCGTTCAAATTTTACAAAAGACTTTGCAGAATAAACAGTGAATTTACTGAGTTGACTAACAGCACCCACGGGAGACGTTCTTCTCTGTGATAATGTGATGCCGAGACCTGGACTGCAATCCTCCGTCATGACGGGCTTTCAGATGTGCTTATAAAAGTGTGGACTGTAGGAGGAATTTCAAACACGATGAGCGTGATGACTCACTGGATTTTTCATTTACCGCCACCTCATACAAGAACAGCAGTAACAACAATCCATAATTATCAAAGGGCCTTAAAGGCTTGATTCCATTTCGTCTGCGTTCCTTTCATCTCACAATGTGTTTCACAATTTCAATAACAAAACAGTCCCTGAAGAGTCAACACTACGTGATCTCCGATATTAAACCCTGCATCAACCTAATGTCTTTATCTTCTGCAGCGGGCTGCTGATTGACTTCCTGCACACACTGTTTTGGTTCACGACTCTCCTCGTCACCGTTGTT